AGGCAGTTCGCCACTAGGCAGTTCGCCACCAGGAAGCATCACCAGGCAGTTCTCCCCCGGGAAGTTCGCCACCAAGTAGCTCATCACCAAGGCACGTCACCACYARGTCAAACACKAGGTACTTAGCCAAAAAATTTTACACATCCCAAAAAATGGTACGTGACCAAAAACGGTTACATCACTTACCATTTATATATGACAAAGATAAATTGAACAATTAAACATTTTTTTTGTACAAACTACTATTTGGTAAGATATTTATTAGATAAATGTTCAACTTGGTTTGTGTAAGAGCCAATTGTTCTAGTGATTGTCGAACTGGCCAAGGGTGTCACGTGACGGATTTCATGCCCACCCTCTTCGGGCCATATTAGCATCAACTACGTAACGGAAGAGCACAACCAAGAAGGAGTGTCCCACACGAACAAGGAAGCAGATTCCACCAAGAAAGATGGAACCTCCTAAAGACCTCGGTAGACGGCCTCATCTTGACAACCCTAGATTCCCTATCTGATTGGAATGCAGATATTCAACTATAAATAGGTATTTCTCGCTCGAGGTAAGGGACTTTTGAACTCTTCACTCAACACTCAACCCGGGCGTAGGATCTCGTCACGGGTCGGTCCACGGGGAGAAAGCCCTGCTTTTCCTTGCGCCTTCCCTTGCATGCAGAACCTATTGTGGAAAACCGAATGGGTGATTTGTCCAAGAGACCACCCGAACTCTCCTTACTCTTCTCTTGACTGGAAAACTGAATGTCTTTACTTCAATTCGTAGCTCCTTAAATAAGAGATTACAGAAGGAAATTTCTTGTTGGATTCGGCTAGGCTAGAGTAATCCAACTTAAACTCAAACTCCTAATTACCTACTCCTAATGGTAAAACAACTCTTACTTAAGAAGATAAGATAAGGATAAGGGATAAGGGATAAGGAATGATGTAGCTAGCGGCGAGTTGGCGAGCAGAGTTGTTGTGGTAAGACAAGAGTGGACCCACCCTGATGAGCTATCGTGTGGGCCCCGCCCTACTGCCGCTGCTCGGGCGGTGCGCGCGTCTCGCAGTGCTGTTGCCGTGAGGTGCGTGCTGCTGTCTAGTGTTGTTGTCGTGCGGTGCATGCTGCTGCCTAGTGCTGCTGCCGTGCGGGCGGTGTGTGTTGCGTTCTGCCAGGCGATGTGTGCTGCCGGGCGGTGCCTGCTGCTATGCGGCCTGCTGTGCGTGCTGCTGCCTATGATTGCGCTGTCGGACGGTATGTCCATAACACTCACATACCCTACCGGATAGCTCAGCACACTAACTTAATCGTCAGAGTTATAAGCCCAGGATATCACCTTAGGCTCTCTGACCTTTCTCTTTCCTTTGTAGATTGACACCAAGCTATTCCAAGGACCTAGACGATTTCTGACGGCATTAATTTCCGTAGAACAAAAATGCGTTCTCGAAAAACATTTTGCCAAACACCTCTATTACTCCCAATAAGCAAGAAATAAAATTCTTATTCTGACATACGAATTTCTAAAAGAATAGGAACAGATGAAAACATTGCCAAATAGGGCCTAAACCATTCATGAGTCCTCTTCAAATAGCGTAAAAAATTCATAAATGCCAACACTAAGGCTGAGTTTGGAAGGAGTACAAATGAAAATATGTAGAGTGCAAAACCTTATATTTTATATGTATTTACACTGTACATATTTGCATTTATACTGCTTCCAAACTGAGCCGAAGGATCATTTACGTCCAAAGGATTAATTGAGAAAGCAAGATCCCCGTAACAAATCCTAACACAGAACTTTGCTTACTTCGGATTTTTTGCGGAGGTAAAATGCCAAAGGAACCCCAACCCATGGCAATTCAAAACTTCCAAAGTCCAGAGCAGAAATGGGACCAAGAGACGGTCAAAGCCCCTTCCAAGGTCCAACCATAACGATCGTGACAAGGAAACGCCCATAAGGTTTAGCTTTGCAGCCCAAAACATTAGTTGAACAGGTGCCCATAGATAAAACCAGACCATGACGTCTTGAAAAGAGATGAGCCCTGATGAGAAGGCGTTGAAGTCCACACCACAAATCGTCCAAAAAAGCCTTGCCAGCCCATAACGTCCGTTGACACATCTTAAAAATGGTATAGCCCACATTCCATGCATCCTAAACTAGACTATTAAAACGACCATGCTCACACTGAATTAGGATTAGTTGAACAGTTTAGGTGTGTTGCAGACTGTGGGACCGATGATAATGTCCCACAAGGTTAAATGGCTGTGGATCTCATGCATTTTATGACTGAACAGTTATTGCCTTCAATTAATTCTGTTTCGCTCGTATCATTTTGTAGTGTTTTAGTATTCGGTGCTATTCACTATTAATAACTTTCCTCGACCCTTATTCAAACGCCAAAGTTAGTAGTGAAAGGAATGACGTCATTAAAATCTAAGGAGAATGATTGTTCAGCACACTCTAAGAATTCTTAGCCCCACAGTACAGTTGGGGTAGGTGTCAGCTTGGAATTGATGCCAATGTACAGACGGATATTGATGTTTTAGAATGGGGGTGTTTATCATTTTAAATTGTGTAGGATTGTAGTGGAATTTCGAATTCTGCAATGTATTTTTCCATAAAATCTACATGACACATGTTGTATGGAAAGCCAGGCTGTTGACAATATAGAGTGAAGATTACCTCATTAGACTGCATTTGAAAAGGATGCAAATGAAGTGTAAATCCCGGTTCAGAGTAAATTTGCACTTTGGTTCACTTTTGCTTGTATTTGGCAGCATTACATTTATACATTGACAAATGACAGACCAATGCATATTTACATTGATAATAAGATATAAAAGTACTTCAATAAAAAAATGTAAATTTGCATTCAAGTGGGTTTTTGATAAAAAAAAAAAAACATATGCTTCATTGAAATTCATATTTGCATCCATTACACCTAATAATCTGTTTGGTAAGAAAGTAAATTTGTCAATGCAAAACTAATCCAATTTTATAATTTATATGAACCATTTTACATTTTACATATTTGCATTCACACTTATTTACATCATTTCCAAACACAAGACATAATTTGAAAATAATACAAATACAAATATGTATAAATAAAATAATACAAAATACAAGATATTGTAAACTTGTATTCTATATATTTATATCTGTACTCCTTCGCCTTAGCTGAAGTCGTATTCCGAGCTATGGAACCAATCATAATGTCCAAGCAGTAAGTGCATATAATTAGTTATCATTTTCAGCCGTTCTCCACTTCTCCTTATATGATCCTCTAACTTTCAAATAATAATAATAATGAACTTTGGTTTTTATATTTATTGTCTTTAATTGTATATTTCAGGTTAATGGCCCACTAATTGAGACTTGAGATGTTGATTTGGCATCCGTCCATAAAAGAGGCGCGGGATCAGACTTGTCCATACATAAGCTCTCCGTGTCCGTTATGGCAGCCCTCACCCCTCTTCCCCTGATGTAATAATGATGTGCAATACCTACATTGATGCATGACGGGAGTCGAGATCCGCTAGATAGATGCAACATTATCCTATTAAAGGTAATCATATCAGAACTATTGATATGAAATCAGAAGTATTTAATTTTGATCGGGTGTTATTACCCCGATTTGCAATCCTGTTTCCAGCATACTCCGACTCTTTTGATGGGAGTTATTTCCGCATTGGTTATCCAGTTTTGTCATGGGTTAATTGAGTTCAACTTGGGAATAGCTTGATTCAATTTGGTTTAAATCAAATTTTTAGTCGAATTCGAGTTTAATTTTTATTAATCAAACCAAGCTTGAATCTAATAAAATTTTGACTGCATAATTGTGCTTATATTATATTAGATATATAATATTTTTAATTATATATATATTTATTTATTTATATGTATAATTTTTAATATACTCACCATCAAACTTGAACCAAGTCGAATTCAAATATATGAACTTTTGAGACAAAACGAATTTGAGGTAATATTTCTAACTTCAACAGAGCTCGAGCCCAAACTGAATCCTTATATTTTTCTATCAAGTTGAGCTCAATTTGAATCCACCCCTGATCTAGCAACCTTACGGTCAGGATTTAGGTTTCAGCAACACCGAAATTCATCTCAACTTAAATACGTAGCCCAGGAACATAAGGGAAATTTTCCCTCTCTGCCCTATTATGAATGGGCCTGAAATCATTACGGATGGTGATGTAGCCAATTCAGGAACTTTCCTTACTCGTTTTCTTGTTTATTTTCGAAAGTTTGTCGCTTACTCTACCTTCTATAGACCACGGATCAAGGATTAGAAAGGTTTTAGACTTTAAACTGGAGACGACAGGCGAAATAAATTCCTTCCGATCTTCTTCAAGCAACCAACAGTAGTACAGTACAGTCGTTTGAATTTTGAAAACTTTCTCCCCTAATTAACCATACTCGTTTGAAAGCTTGGCAATAAAACATTGATATACATACAAAACTCTAACGAATGCACTCTCATCTTTTGGCCATTTCATTGCACAAAACTCTACTAATGACTCACCCCCACCCCCCCCCCCAAAAAACAAAAAAACTCTACTATTGCATTTAAACATTAAAAATCAATATAGAAAAGAATAATGGAAATAGAAATTAAATAAGGAAATTAGAAAAACTGTACATGATTAATTACTATCAATTAGCCTAAAAATGACTATTCCAATTAGGGGAAGATGAGAGGATCTCTCTCAGCTTGGGCCAGAAATAACAGCCAATCTTCAACTCAAGATCCACATATAGATTGTGGACCAAACTGTAAGGGCAAACGCTGCAGCCAAGTATGTCCACAGGAAAAGGACGGAGCATTCTTCTTGACCCACATCAAATAGCTGTGTCATGGTTCCTACATGGTCATCATCATCAACATCAAAATATGAGCTTCAAAACAAACTCGGGTAAATTGTAATGGCATTGGAACAAATTAATAAGATGCCTTGTTTTGTTGAAGTAATATTCAATTGTAGCATACAAATCAAAAGGGTATGTTAAGGCAATTGCATACCGATGTTCATGGCAGGTGGCGTAGTAAACTGTATCATTAGCACGTAAAGGAATAAAGGGTCCGATGGGACTAAACCAAGGTTACTTGCTGCCTTGACAACGCCAATCCCAATTACAGGGAGAATCATATACCGCACAAAAATGGTCCCTATAATGACCATGGGCTTTAATCTGGCGGAGCGCAAACCTGTGGAAAGAATTAGGACTCGATTAACGTATTAAGGCTGTGCCTCGGACTCTTTTTGAGTACTGAATATGGCAACCAAACTGCAAACATGATTTTACCTTGGATGAGGTTACCCCCAAGTATGAGGGTAATGCATGGTATCGTGCCGTCCCTACACAAAGCCAGCAGATTTTGGTGTCAACACCGTGGAAATGAAATCCAATTGTCAAATACCCAATACGACAAGACATCATTAATTTATTAAACTGATAACATTGAAAAATTCAAGAGAAAGAACAAGTCCTCGGCGACACTCTGAAGGGGTGTTTTGATTAAATGCAAGTAATTACCTCTCTAGCTAGCCAAGGAACAACTTTTAGTAATTGGCATGAGCTTGTTTATATTGATTTGTTAACTGATGAGTTTAAGCCTAGTTGAGTGATGCATACCCTAATAGTTTAATTGTGCCTTGGATCACTCTTAGAGGAGCATCATTGCCGATTATAAGATTTTTCAACCAAGGCGTCGCCCCGAAGATGAATCCCACGATCTGGTACAACATACAAAGGCGTTAATATAGCAATAACAAAATATACTTAAGAGTTTCTGAGTTCTGAAGCACCTATATATAGTGGGATAAAAAAAGAAAAGAAACTCACTGCAGCAATGGTCGGAGGTGCCATTATCTCTTTCAGAATGCCATGAAGAACTCCTTTCAGCTTTTCCCAGAATGCCGTCTTCTCTTTTCCCGCTTTCTCACTCAACTGATTATTCTAATTTTTTAGTATAAAATGTTTCCCCTGTATTTTAAGGAATTCAAAACAGAAAATCACTTACAACTTGGCTTTCTTTATCTTCGTCAATGGGCTTCACTGGTTGCACTACTACCACTGTCACTGCCCTTTCTTGATTTTCTGTTTTGAGAAGGTGAGTTTCACTTCTGGCATCTAAATCAGCGTTTGGCACCTTTACGGTAGACTCACCTTCTTGAAGTGCTTTGTACTTTAGTGCCGAAGTTCGTATTAGATGGTACGTGTGAGACCAAATGAAGAAACCACCAAGCTGTATGACAATAATATGATTGAGCCTTAGATTTTGTAGAAACTAATAACTTCAACTTATGGCTAGCAATTCGCCCGAATTCAAACTGGAAATGTGAAACCATAAAGCAATTATCCATTGTTAGTTCAGTTATTCGGGGTAAGGGTGTCAATGGACCGGTTAATCAATATTGACAGATTGGACGGACCAATAAGATATATTGGATTGGATCAATTCAGTCTAAAATATTTAGGGGTTTTTATAGTTTAATTCATCTTTAGGGTGGAGCTAAGATTTCTAGGGGTGGACTGAATCTTGACCATGAATTAATGTCAAATTCACCAACAGGATGGGTTTATAGGGGGGCTACTAGTAAAGAAGGAGGGAGTTGCAATTTCAGATTTATGAGGTGGATTACAATCCATTTATCCCAAATATTTATTAGATTGGACTGGACTTGGTCCGTCCGTAATAAATTTATTTTGGATTTGGTTGGATTAAGCCAATATCCGGTCTATTGATATAACATAAGAACATAGATGTAAATGGACTGGATTTGGATTGAAACCAATATAAATTAAAACAAATTAAATTTAAACAGATTGGATGGTCCAGATATTAAATTGGACCGATCCAAAATAATCCAAAATATGCATCGGATTGGACCAAATCCACTCCAATTGACACCACCTAAAATTCCGAAGTCTTGGGAGGGGTAGACTATACGGTCCAAACCGTTGGCAATTTTTGCACAAAGTGGCCGCTGCAAGTCCAAGTGATGAGGCCAACCAGGTTGTCTGAGTCAAAACTTTTTAAAAGGCACCAAATTCACAGAACTCTATATTAACACAGTCGATTCTCAAAAACTCTTCTTTACTCAAATGTCAAACATACGTCTCGACAAACATCAATGTTTAGACCTAAGTTTGTTTGTAACTCCTTGAACAATGTACCACATTTACTCTATTCCGAGTGCTTTGATTCTAAGCAATATAATAGGATGAAGCCAATAATTCATAATCATAGATAGAACATGGTATATAATAAAAAGAAGAGATATCAATGGCTTTACCGCCATGGAGAAAGATACATAGGAAAGCGCAACGGAGTTGCAGATACCATGACTAAATGGACTACCATCCTGGCTACATATTTCCGGCACGACTATCAGAAGAAGGTTTCCCAAGTTTCCTATTTAGAAAAAAAAATGAGAAAATGAGAACTCAAACTTCATACGAGTGCTCTTAAACAGAGAGATGAAAACTAGTTAATTAATTATATACCTGCTGAACATGTAGCAATGACCAAGCCTTCTAGATGCGGCTTGGGTTTCAATATTTTTACAAGAATCCATCCAAGAACTCCTCCAATTAAGAAGGTTAACCCGATGTTAACCGGCATAAACCACCTAATGTAGCATAAAGAAAAAAATAAGTGAAATTAAGATAAATGGTATTCACATATATATGTATCATCCTCAGAGATATAGAGAGAGAGATTATTTGTAAATCAAACAATATAAATTTGCTTCTATCGTTCTCTTCGTTAGTAATTTTTGAAATGTACTATGTAGTTTACCATGAAATAATGTCTTGGAGTGTGACAGTCTGGGCAAGACATGCAAACATGAGTGAGGGAGTGAATACAACGAACACAACCTGCATTAATTGGGCAAAGGTTCTCATCAGATCAGATCATAGGCTTTAATACCCTGAACAATGTAAATATGTACAGCAAATAATACATTTGGGAATGTGCATGCGAGTGCATGAATACCTTGTTAATGTATCGTCGAGCATCAGCATTCAGTAGATTAAAGTATTCGGTTGCCATGAGGGCCCCTAGAATACTGACGAGGAGGACCTGCATTATTGGCATGGAAGCCACTTCGAAAAGTGTCCAGAAACCCATCTTTCCTTTTTTTTTTTAATTTGCTTCCCACTTTCCCTTCTTTTCGCTGTGTTGCTAAAAGGACGTTGATAATGACGTATTTGGCTCTTTTCTTTCTTGTTCTGATTTGCTACTGCCTTCGATTCTTCCCTTGCGAACTAGTTACACTTGTTTTATGATGCTCGGATAGAAAAATAAGAAAATCCTGATAACAGCGATATTGATCATCATAAGTGACAAAGTTTCAATTAAAAAAATCAATAATCTGAATTGCAAGTAAATTAACATGATCACCGACTGACGGTGGTTCAGTTGGTAGATTCTGTTGTATGTAGCGGAGTCTTGGAATAAAATCCCGCTGGTCTCTGCCACCAGAATTGGGGTCTTGAGTGAGGGATCGGATTTAGTAAGCACAATATAAGTGAGCAGGTTTTAATCTTTTTCAAGACTGCAGCAAAGGTATTTTCAAGACCGAAATAAGGGTATTTTAAGGAATAGGTGTCAAAAAAAATTTTAAGTATTCATTGAATGTTCTTACATAGTTGTTGAGCCTACCTGATGTAAACTGCTTGAGGAATGTACTATCTTGTTGTGAAGCTTCATGAAACATATATATATGATCATAGTTTTTAAAAACGAATCGGTCAGGGGTCTGGTTACTGGTTCAAACGGTCCGATCATTCGACCTAAATGACTGGCCCATCCTGACAAAAAATAAAAAAAAATTAGAAAATGGTCAAAACCGTTTGAATAATTAACCGGCCGGTTCAGTGGTTTGCTGACCAAAATCAATGATTTTGGGGAAAAAAGCGGTTTTGAGGAAAAACAGAACTAGTCAGATGACCGGTTCCAGTTTTTCTGGTCCAATTTTGAAAACCATGTATATGATATTGGTGTCAGGTTTTTTATTAGATGTCTACTGACTTTATCACAGATGGGGCTGTTTAATTCTATTGTCGTTTATTTAAAAAAAAAAAGAAAGTTTAATATGGTATACATCTTCAGGGACGGAGCCAAGAGGGGACCCAGGGGGGCCATTATGGTCCAAAAATCTCCACATATAGTACATCCACCAATGGTGGCCCCCTTTATGGCCCATCCATAAGTTTTGGCCCCTCGTGAATCTTGAAAAACATGATAACTTGTATAAAAGTGCTTTTTAACATTTTTTATTAGGAGAGAACTTTGGCTCCTATTGAATTGTAGATATCTCTTCTCACCATGGAGAGCGAAAAAGAATTAATGTTGGGGAAACATTAAAAAAATTCCCCAGCAACTCAAGAAAAATAATTTTTCAAGATATAACCAAATAATATTATAAATTCTATTAGGAAAAATATTTATATGGCGTTGAATTAGTACATTTTTTTTCAGATAAATGACGATAAAAGCAAACACATAATCTTGGGCCTGCCAACGACTGAAGTATAATGGGATGTTTAGGTACTTGGGTCCAATGCACGAACTCAGTTTGCTTATTACTGGAAACTAAAGAATGAAGGCCATCCTATTGGCGTAATCAGTGACGCTGGGACGCAAAAATTCCATATTTTTTCAACTCAAAATTAAGATTCTGAGCTGGTAAAGATGCTACGTTTATTATTCGTGGCCGGAGCGCTCGCTAAAAAATAAAAAGAAAGTAAAAAAAACAAGGAGAATTATTAGCATTTACATAAGGGAAAATTTCTGATTATTATTGGCTCGAGTGGCAATTTGATCGTGAACTTTAAAATGAGGCAATTCAGTATCTGAACTTTCAAAATGTGAATCAAATGTTAAAATATGACAGTATAGTATTTGCGGTTAAACATTCTGTTAATCAACTGTTAAATGACATTTGAAAAGTTAAAAATGCCTTAAGAATGTTATTTAATTCTCTTTGTCAATCATCCAAACATTGACAATAAAATAAATAGTCCCAAATTCTAGATTCTTCTAAACAGTTGTCTTGAATAGAAGAGAAAGATTTGGAACCCTTCAGTTTTTATCAATGTCTGGATGGTTGATAAAGAGAATTAAATAGCATTCAAAGGGCATTTTTGACTTTTTAAATAGGGTCAGATGCTATTTATCAAAATTTATGGAGGATTTTGATTAATCAAAACTCTTTCTATACTATATCTTTTATGTATTATAGATTTTTCCAATATTATTTAACACTTGATCATATAATGGATTATCACATTTTAAAAGTTCAAATACTAAATTATCACATTTTGATAATTCAGATACTGTATTATTGCATTTTAAAATTGGACGATCAAATTATCACTAGAGCCAAAAAAAACTGGAATTCGTATCTAGTGATCACAAAACGAATACATGCTGGTCGCAACTCACGACACTTTTAACCGCACATCAGAAACATCTCCCTAGTAGTATCAAAATATAAAGTGCAACAGAAGTTTCCCATCTGCGGATGCAGGGTCTTGTGGCAAAACTATAGAAACCCTATGATACATGCAGCGGGATACCAGTGACAGACTGAGAATGAAACTGTATGACAAATAAAGCAGATCTGGACTATTCTCACCCTATTTATTTCTACTTAATAATAATAATAATAATAATTGGAATAAGAAAATCAAAACTATTAAAACTTAAAAAAAAAAGTTAAACAGCTGTTTTCTCTTTTTATTACACCGAAGATGGCGGAAGTTCGCTGTTCTACTTATCAGTTTTTTTAATTGTTTTTAATTAATTTATTTAATAAAAGAGGAACTAAAGAATTACGACACTTTTTTCTGAGGTACGCAAACGATCGACGTTGATTGTAAATACTAAATACAGTAGGAAGAACAACCTAGATCTGCAGACGAATAAATTCGATTCATATTGAACAGAGACCAACAGAAAAGTGTTCCAAGTAAGATGAAATTCAAACGCTAAAGAAGAAGAAGAAGAAAGAAAGATAAAGACGGTCGAAACGAATGAGAATACAGGGAAGAAAAAAAGAAGACGAACCATCTTTGTCGAAGGAAGATAAATTAAAAGGAAATAATAAAAATAACGATATAAAAAAAAAAGTGACAGAGTTGTTGGCATAGAGGAAAAGAAAGAAAATCGAAACACGAAGAAAACATGAAAGGAGAAAGGAGAAAGAAACCATTGAGAGAAGAGACGAACCTGGGATGGAGAGACAATGTTGTCAAAGAACAGGGGAAGCCATTTGAGTCGCCAACCTTAATCCTTAGAGGGCTTAGATGAAGAGGAATCCATCGAGTTGGGAATTGGCGAAGGCGAATTGGAAGTGGGAGAGAGTTAGCTTATATCCCGCCTTTTTGCCCCACGTTCAAGTGGGTCTGAACTCTCTGAAGCCGTTGTGGAAGAGGCGAGCATTCATCATGGACCTTGAGTTTGATAGATAGAGATCGAGAAGGAAACGTCAGGGATGAGATGAAAAATAAAAGGGAATAAATAAAAAGTAATGGTAATCCTGATCCAGTTGCAGCCCTCCCCACAATGAGTCTTGAGTGATCTGTTCCTGCCCCTTTAGGCCTTTACACAGCTATAGACATGGACGAGTGCGAGTAGAAATGGAGCATTCATCTCTGATAAACGGTGTGGGCCATAACGTCGTGTTCATTATCAATACGATAAACAAAACTATACTGCTTAGAGTTCCATCTAGTCGGGTTGTATTTGAGTTGGAGTTGGAGTGGCTTTTGGGTCAAACCCGTATTGGACCCAACCTGCTGAGTGTTGCAACGTTAAGCACCACGTCATTGAGATAAGACCGTAGACGGAGTTGCTGTCTGCATCACTGCCACTGCCAACCTCATCATGTATATCATCCAACTTCATTTGATATTGTTACAAGCAAGGTTTTGGTTTTTAAAATCGAATCGGGTTTCCGGGTTGAATGGTCTGATCGTTTGAACTAAACAGATAGTTCATTCTGATAAAAATAAATAAAAATGGCCAAAATCGTTGGACGGTTCAAACGATTTGATCACTTGAGTCAATGGTTTATTGACTAAATCAACAGCTTTTGACGAAATAACGTTCTAGGGTAAAATGGAATCAGTCACCTGACCTGTTCCTGGTTTTTCCATTCCAACTGTCCGGTCCAGTCCAGTTTTAAAAACTATGGTTACAAATGCAACCCTCTGCAGTTGGCTCTGCTCCGAATCTGTGCCTCTATTCCAACTTATATTGAAATAAAATTTTTTTGTTTTAAGATTGTACAAGGAAGGAGGACATGAGTCGAATTTTTCATAAGTTATTCGAGTTTGTCTCGTGAAAAATTTGATTTAGCTTCACCAAATTGAATTTTGAACCGAATTCAAGCCTCGGCTCATAAGATTCATGAGCTTAATATAATTCTTAAATTTTATATATAAAAATAAAATATAATTTTTTATTTTTATAAGATGTTTGATTTACAATCGAGTTCGAGCTCAAGTCTTTTATTGGTGAGACAAGCTGGAATAGTTAAAAATTTGACTCAGATGGACTCGGTTCCACCCCTAAGTGGAATGAGACAAGTAGGCCAATTCTAGGACCCAAACCAATACCACATTATTACACTAGTACTATCTTATTGGACCGGAATCAAGTTTATCGAACCAGATCCGACCCATTTAAAGCCAAAGCCCCAACCCAACTGAGAAAGAAATTAAGAATGTATAAAGACGGGTCAATATATGCTAAGTATTTGGGTCCAGCCGTGTATGACCTGAAAAATTAAGTATCAAGGAATTTGCCTTGTTGTCATACACATTATTTATTATTTATTATTTTATTAACGATGAACATATATTCATTAATTAGTTTTGACCGCGTGGTAATGGTATAAATACATATATGGTCACAGTCACAAGGAACTCGTTCTTTATCTAATTAATTTTGAAAGAATGACCAATCAGCTCAGATCAAAATTTTATAGCCCGAGTATAGGGGAATGCATCCTGACCGTTAATTGATGTTAAATTTACGGGCAGAATGTATTTTATAGGGGGGAGAAGGCTAATAATAGGGGGGGTCGAATTCAGAATTCTCCATCGGGTGTATCCGTATTTTTCCGATTAATTTTCAATTTAAACTACGTAATACATACGTTGCATACATAATCTATGCTATAAAGAAAGAAATCGTATGGAACAGTCTGGAATGGCGAAGATGTGTCAGAGAAGACACAAAACCAACATACCAAGGGAGTGTTTGATCATGTGAATAGGTTTTTCTAAATAGAACAGCTATCATGTCACTAATGATAATATATTTTTGTTGATGTAGCAGTTGCTTTTGTTTTATAAATTAGAACCATTTGTAATGTCGAACACCCCTTAAGCTTTAAAAGACCATTAATATGGCAATTATGCATATGCAGGTTTGATCTTATGCATGTTTCCTATTTTGTAGGGGGATTGGCTAACCATCTCTCAACAACTACTGAATCATCCTCAAACCTTTCCTTTATAAGTGAGATATTTGATTATTCAACATATTTTGACATGATTTACACAAAAAAAAAGCCTTGGCTCATTGAATAATTATTGGCCTTGACCAAGTGTTTCCAACATAGTAGGTGGAATCCTCCATTTGATGGGTATCAACTAGTAATTTCAACATGACTACAAGAGAGAGGCCCAGAGCCGTGTCAACCAATAATATGCCCACAATTATTTTCATTCCAAAAATAAGTTATGATGGGAAAGGAAATGTTCATTTGAACATCTCTTTTCCGGGCAATACTTGGCTTCTATGATGGTCGGACCAAAGCGTTGATCACTTTTGATTTTCAGATCTAAGCCCTAAAACCTTAAATCCTAATATCTAAATTCTTAACCTCTTGCCCTTAAAATCTTAAATCCTTAAACACTATAATTATGTAAAATGGATCTTATAGGCATCTATTCCAACCGGTAGGGCTGTTTACGTATCGGGTTGGGTCAGTTTACTAGCGTTTTTTCAACCGACCCGACCTAGTCAGTTTACCTAGAAATGAAATCGAAATCGATCCAGTATTAAGTAAAACCAACTTGGTCGGTTTGAATTGGTTTGGGTCACTTTTGTGAATGATTCTCTCGGTGTGAATGGTAAAGGATTTAAGTCTAAGAAAGCAAAAGCTGGATGCCTGGAAATTAAAAATGATTTGATGGATTAAAACTGATATTTTATATATAATATGTATATTTCTGAAATAAAGCTGAAATATGTATATATCCACAAATATATATTAAAACTGAAATATATCAGATATATATAATATAATATCTAAGTCGATTCGGGTTGATTCGGTTATGAAAACCAAAACCGAACCGAACCATTGATTTATGTTTTTTTATAACCCAAAACTAATCGATGCTGAAAAAAAATCAGCCAACTCAGATTGGATCGGACCGAGTTGAAAGGTTTGATCGGTTTGGGTCTTGTTATGAACAGCCCTACCAACCGGGTGGGAGACAAGTATTTTTTTCTCTCTTTTCGATGGATTTCTGTTATGGAAAACAGAGCTGACAAGTAAATAGCTTTTGTCGGTTGGTCCTTCAAAGTTATGTCAACTTTGAAGTTTGAAACTGAACCCATAGTCCATAGAGCACGCCTTGCTCATTCTATATTGGTGTCCCACTCTCCAGTTAAAAGAATAGAAAGAAAACAACAGAAAATAAATACGTTTTTTTCAGTGGAACGCTATCATCAATTACTGTCTACTGACTACTGATGCTCGCTTCAGTTATAATTTTGATACGGAGTCGGTGCCCTTTTGCGCTGTGTTGTGTGAGGGACTGAGGGGCTGAGGCTGTGATGCTCTGAGGGACTCGGTGGTGTGTCATGCGTGTGATAATTGATAAAGACAGTACATGTTGTATACAGGAATGGAGGAATCAAAGGCAATGAGACATGCTGGCGCATGTACAGGAATCATGGTCACTGGTAGTCACCATTGAATTAATAATGCCTCGAAGTGGGTGACCTGGCATGGGCTCCCAGTAAAATTAAAAACGAGGATCACGCTCATACAAGTCATACTCCATAAACCTTATTAAAAAGGAGGATGAAACTGTTGTCGCCGGCAAATTCACCGAACCCACGCGGCATGCGGCGCCGGCGACAAACCCATTTTGGACAAATCGGGTATATCCTTTTGAACCTGGATAATTGACATGATTTTTTTTTTTTTTTTTTTTTTTTGGGGGGGGGGGGGGGGAAGGTTGTTTTTATTCCATTTACTGCATAGCCACCAACAACACAGAGAGTGCTGTGGGAGATTAGTAGTCAAAATAAGGAGTCAAGTTTGGCTCTTAGAAAGAAATTTGTCATTTAATTCCCACTGCAAATAGCAACATCAAGTACGCAGTTGGGATAGGCTGGTCGAATTATAGATTGGATTCCTTTTTGTCACTTGTCAGTGATCCAAGAGTTACATAGTACAAATTTATTAGAATTAGTGCAAATATAAAAAATGCAAATGCTTGTTTAATTTTGTTTTGGATTTTACTTTATTATGCTCCATGTGTTAATTTATTTCATTTGTACAGCGATCAAATAGAACAAGCTAAAATTTGAAATAAAAATAGGTCAAAATTTATAATCAAATCATTTGCACTGCTTGGGGCTGAGTAAGGTTGCCTAGCAAAAATACAAAAGGTCTAGGGCGAGGTTGGATAGTCTAGTGCAGTTAACCATGCCTCACCACCTATTGACTATTGTACAATTCAGAGGATCAGGACGTATGACTGGAATTTGGAAGGGCCACTGACAAGATAGCAAAAATCAGCAGTCCAGAACGAATAGAAGACTTCTTTTTTTTCTTTTGATAAATACAAATAGAGGACAATTTATTTAAGAAATTATCTTCTTTCGAACATCCAAAGAGTTGCCTCAAGATATCTTTCCAGTTTCCATAGATCAAATCTAAACAGTAAACAGTAGAAGCACTCAAGCACATACCAGTACCCTCCTCCAAGAATCAACCTGGGGACTGTGGCGCTGCGGGTATTTACCTTTTGTAGCTCACGCTGGAATCCATGGACCATGGTTAATTAACAGCCTACACACTCGTATAACCCTCCAGTACGGCGCTACCAAATGGGCAAATAACCCAGTCGAAAGAGCTAATTCTACCTTCTTAGAGTTTTAATCACGTCTTTCCCCTCCCACGTCACGTTCCCACCTAAAATACATATGCGTTGATTGTAAAAGATTGCCCCGCAGTTCTTCTATGTGTACATTGGCATGCATACCCACTAAAATTCTATTTGATTCAACATGCACACAGATTCAGTAATCGTATTCGATGGATCCCATGTATTATCTCCTTTATAACATACAGTGCCGTTCAACTAGTCACGAGTAATGAAATTTTATTTTCTCTTCCTTTTTGTCGATCAGTTGATTAAATCGGTGATAGTAACCACTGAATCAAGAATACGACTTCTACCAAATGGTTGAAAGTACCACAAAATGCATGGAAAGCACTCTTAACATGACAGTTCTAAAACGAAAGCTGGGTTCTCACAGTGACATGCTGCATGCAGGTAAACTATTGGTTCCTTGCATCGTAGACAAAAAACTGTTTATCAATATAAAGAAGTACAGAACTGAAGAGAATGTTAAGGGTTAAATTACCGGTGGTAGCTGATGGCAAATCTCAGTCCAGGGATAGTAGTTTAACAAAAAATCATATCGTAGGTGAACAAGACCATTCTCATATGGTCATATAGCAGCTTCTATTTCATCTGAGCCCACGGCAGCCCCATTTGGTGCATCTTCTGCGCGTAGCTGAACAGACACGTCGTCAATGGCAGAGTTCAACTGTTCTATCTTCTCTGCCAGTATCTTCCTCGTCTTCTAAAAAGAAAAAAATAATAATAATTATAATCAATGCAATGTTACATAGAAATATGGTCTCTCCATATCGATGCCAATGTATCCCACATGGCTACAATGTGTACATTTCTTCCTTAATCTACATATGTCCTAATAAGTTTGGATCTTCTACCCACACCCTACCCACAGGGAAATGTTCTTGATGTAAGAATGTAATGCCTTGTGGATAGGGTGTGTATAACGGATCCGGACTCCGGTTATTGTTGGTATTAACATCTCATGTAGTTCTACTTCAAGATTCCGCTCTACCTAGTGATTTCATTAAGTTGTAAAATCTACACTATTTTGAAATTTCTTACAAATTTTGTGATGAATTTCTCCTTTTTCGAAGCATAAAATCAAATTGCGATCCTTGGTTGACTTGCCAGAAGGTCAAAATCCAAGTTGATGAGACACATCCAAATAGAGAGAAGTAATAAAAGGAATTCACAAGAGTAATAAAAGATAGAAAATATAGTGTTGATAACAGGAGAAAATAGGACATAAGAATCACAAATACATGCAGTTGAAGGATGGTATCATAACATAAGTTGGTGACAATCTTTTAGAAAATGTGGAGTCGCAATGTAATCTAATGGACATGATTACCACTTTGAGCTAGCTTGAAAATTTTTCTAACATGAAGTTCAGTCTTAGTATTTATGGTATAATAAATCATTTGGTTGATCTATTATAACATTTCTGACCACACTTTTCAAAGTGCTAAGACGAAGCTAGGTGATAGGGGCGGGGCACCTTGTTGCCTAGGAAATGGTTTTTTTTTTTTTTTTGAATAAAAACCATGAATCTTAGGGCAATTCCCTAGTTCCATAGCAAGCAACAACCATCTTTCATTATAAGTTGTCTATAATCTTCATAAAAAATGTATGAACTTCATTTAAAACATAGAACATCAACATACTCGTGAAAAAAGGGGAAAGAAAATAAATTTCAAAAAACAGAGGGGCGAAGCCTCTACTTTTGCCCTAGGAAAAGAAGAAAAGAAAACAAAGGATGAAAGAAGAAGAAGATAAATGTGTGTTGATTGGAAAAAATTGAGTTCTTCCATGTATTAGTTTGAGTTTTTAAGTCTTCAAGGTTTCTCAGTATGCATCTTGATTGAACCCCTAACAAATAAAAAGAAACTAATATTTTAACTCAAACTGAATAGTCTAGCTTAATAATGTCTTTTATTGTTGTAATATCATAAAGTTAATATAAAAGTATCCAAGAGAACCATGTAAAAAATATCTTGGTGATTTAAGTGAAGGCAACCCTCCTTGAGAGCCTTATCGCCTAGGCATCACTCTACATGATAGTGGCATTACTTGATTGTCATAGTTAGGTAGTATATCCTAGAGGTAGTCTCTAGTTTAGTTTATATGATAGTGGGTAGTTCTTCTATCATTTGGTGAAGAAATACCAAGCATGTCTTTGCTAGGTGATTTGATTTTACATTTAATTGATAACATCATACTTGTGTTTTATTGGATGGTAGGGATGCAAGTTGGGCAGGCTGGACCGAGTTTAAATTCAACCTAAGCCCAACCCTAAGAATTGTGCTTAAAGTCCAAGCTTAGCCCAAGCCTAAGGTCAAGCCCAAGCTGTCCAACCTGAGCCCAATCCGCACTAAAATTTGATGCCCTCAGGTTAAGCTCAGGACCTGGCTGTGCTTGGGTTCGTCAAACAACATACACTAAAATTTAACATAAATGAATATGTTCATGTATGCGTGTATGTATGTATCAAGGTTCAAAGTGTCGGAAGTGCAAGGTGTATCAGAAAGACAATTTTAAGAGACATATCGGGATACACTTTGGAAATGCATAGATACGGATGAAGAATCAAGATACACATAAATATGTTAGGAAATTCAAATGTATCCTAAAAAATATATTACTAACAATAATTACACGTTTTAAATTATGGTACATAAGTCATTTAAATGTAAAGGGATTCTTAAATGTCTACCTGTGATGTATGAAGGTGTGAGATTTAAGGTGGGAAGTGGTGGTAGGCTGAAATTTTGGAAAGATCCCTGGTGTTTGGACAGATCTTTAGAAGAGGCTTTTCCCCTTCTTTACCAATGTGCAGCTAACCAGGAAATATCAGTGGCGGATTCCTATGTTTTATCCAATAATACAGTGGTATGGAATCCTCAGTTTAGAAGAGATCTGTTCGATTGGGAAATAGATGGGGTGCTGCAGCTATTGCAGATATTACAGGAACAGTCTATAGATATTAATAGTGAAGATGAATGGAGTTGGACCTGGAGTAGGGATGGCTGCTTCTCAGTTAAATCCCTTAATTTTAAGCTCAGTAGAACAGGGGTGACTGACTTTCCCTGCCATCAAGTGTGGAACTCTAGTTCTCCCTCGAAGTCTAACTTCCTTGTGTGGACAATGGTGCTGAACAAATGCCTCTCAAGAATCAATCTGGATAGAAGGGGTCTTCATCTCCCTTCTCTGTTGTGTTTGTGTGGTCTATTGCCCGAATCCACAGACCATCTGTGCATCCACTGCCCTATCTCTTCCAGAGTTTGGAGTCATTTTATAGGGGCTATTGGTCTTTGTTGGGTCATGCCAAACTCAGTTAAAGATCTGCTGCTCTGCTGGGATATTCAAGGCCTGAAGAAAAAAGGAAAATTAATATGGAGAACTATTCCTGCGGATGTGATTTAGGTAATCTGGTCAGAAAGGTACAGAAGAGTCTTTAGCAACAAAATAAAGAGCACTGAGGAGATTGTGCAGCAGGCGGTTAGCAAGCTGATTTCTTGCGTGTCTGTAGCCCCTGATTTTAAAAACTTGAATGTTCCTGAGTTGTTTAGATCTAAATCCATTTGGGTTCTGTAAACTGTTCTGTGATCTGAGTAGCCATTTTATGGTTAGTTCTCCTGTTGTAATGAGTCTTTTCTGATTTAATAAAATCTTACTTTACCTTTCAAATAATATATATATATATAGTGTGTGTGTGTGTGTGTGAGATATCGGGATACAATTAATAACTGTTGAAAAATGGAATAAATAAAATGTGAGAAAACAAAAAAAAAAACTAAAATATGGATGTGTATGCATCAATTTTCAAATAACCAATATAAATGTTATGTGTATATATCAATTTATCTTAATATTTATTAGTGTATAAATTTTAATAATTAATTCTAGCATTTATTAATAAATATCCATTAAGAAAAGAGAAAATTTACTTACAAATAATAATGCATATGACCATAACAAACAAATGGGTGTGGCTTAGTGGTGACTTACGGTTGTTAAAACCTGGTGACTAAGGATCAAATCTTGCCATTGTTTAAAGTCTGTAATTTTTATACTAACAAAATGAATTAATAAGACTGGATCATTAATTAGTGGAATTAATGAGAGAGTATCATTAATTAGCGGAATTAACATGAGAATTCGAATTAGGCGCTAAAATTTAAATTTAGAGGAGTAACTAACTAATTAATGAAAGAAAAGTTAGAATTAAATATAGAAGTATTAAAGAGATTAATGAATGAAGGGAACCCAAAAAAAATCAAGTGTAACAGGCCGTATCGGACTGTTTCGGGCCCATATCGGCCGATACAGAGCTGAAACAGCCCGATACAGGCCTGTATCGATGCGATACATACAAAAATAAACGGAACAGATTATTTCTACACGTTCCGTGTATCGAACTCTTATCAGAACGATACGTATCGGCCGATACGACCCGATATGTTGAGAAATTTTAAACCTTATATATGCATGCAAATAATATGTATATGTGTGTGTACTATGTATATAGCTGGGTTGGGCTCAGGTTGGGGAAAGGTCAGGCTAGGCTTGGGCAGCCCAAGGGCTAGGCCAGGCCAGGTCCAAAAGTTAAGAAAGCCCAAACTTTTTGGCCCAAGCCCAACCCATGTAAAATTGCAAGTTGGGTTGATTAGGGCTCGAGTTGGACCTGCCCAGATTGCACCCTATTAGATGGTCACAAGAACTCATTGTGTGATCTGGTTTATCCTTTGACTTATGATTATGTGAACTCATTGCCCCACATGTTAGGCTACCTTTATATTTCTTGAAATCCCTAGTAAGGTTGTGGATCCTAGAGGTAGTCTCCATTTTATCATATGATAGCAGGTAGTTCATGTATCCCTTTAGGTACCAACAACAAACATGCACTGATAGGTGGTTGTATCTTTGTTTAATCGATAAAATGCCTATGTTTTATTGGAGTTTTGCAAAAAAGTGTTGTGACCATGCAAACTAATCAAAACCAAATCCCCCGGGCATGCGCTCACAAGGTGATTTGGTTTTAAATTTAACTATTAGCATGTCTGTGACTTATTGGAGGGCCACAAGAAAGTGTTGTGATCACGTGAACTCATCAAAATAAAATCACCTAGGACTGCACTCACTGGGTGATTTGTTTTTATTTTTTTTTATTGATAGCATGTTAGTGTTTTATTAGGTTACAAGGCAGTATCGTGACCATGTGAAATTGTGAAACATCACAACACATCTTAGGATACCTTGGCATTTCTTTTTTGGAGAAAGATAACTCGTATTCAAAAAGAGGGGGGAGGGGTGGACATAAGAGATGTACAAACAGGCCAGAAAAAAAAAAAAAGAAAGGTCTAGATCAACTAAGATGGCAAAGAGCACTATACAAAAAATCCCCTTCCCAAGCCTTGCTTTGCTAAAACATCAGTACCTTGGACTACCCTTAGGGGGGGGAACCCGACTTCAGTTAGCTTCTGGGATCCGGTAGTGGAAAGATTCACAAAAAGGCTTGTTGGGTGGAAGAGAAACTACATATCTCTAGGGGGTAGAATAACCCTAATAAAGTCAACTTTGACTAATCTGCCAGTCTATTACCTCTCAACCTTTAAGATCCCCATAAAAGTGGCCAATAAACTGGAGAAATTGATGACAGACTTCTTGTGGGAGTCAGGGGATACAAAAAAGTACCATTTGGTAAAGTGGGAGGTGGTCTCAAGG